AAACCGAGGAACAGATGACAGGGGGAGAGACCCGCTGTCAGAACCCATATCTTAATGGGCCCCTTTCCCCGTCCTAACCCAAAACTTACTCTCTTCTCTTCCTGGCTTCTGCCATACTCCTGGAGAGGAGGGGGGAATGCTTGCGGGTTACTGCCTTGACTTCCTCTATCGCTACAAGATAACACTTTGCTGTTTCTGCATAATTCTTCTGTGACCTTTCTCTCCCCCTTGTTGTCAGCTAGTAACGGGGTGGGGGGGGGAGAAGAAAGTAATGTACCTCCGGCAACTGGTTTATCTCCGCGTTCGCGAGGGAAGGTGCGAAGAGCCAACAAAACATCGCTGCAGCCTGGAGACGGCCTGATGTTATCTCCCTTTTCCCACACCTGGGGATTGGCCTGTTTGACCTGACCAGATGAACTATGGGGTGGGGTTTTGCTTGGGACACTTTAACCTATCGATCTGAGCGGGAAACCTTCAGATCCTGTCTATTCTGGCTGCTATCAACGTCTCCTAATAAAAGCTCCTTTTGGAAGAAACTGCTTCGACGAGTTCTACTTCCTTAGGATGAGGGATTGAAGTGGGCCCTGACCTTAGACAAGTGAGAAGAGCCCATCTCACCGCGTACACCTCAAGAAAACTCGCCGAAACTAAACAGAGGTGGGCGGTCTGGGAAAAGGAAGCTTATGCGGTAAGATGGGCTCTTCTCACTTGGCGGCACTTTCTGGAGGGGAACAAAATTCCCTTCCAGGTGTGGACTGACCACAAGAACCGGGAAGCGCTAAAGACCCCCAGAAAACTCACCCCTAAACAAGCCCGGTGGTCGTAACACTTCCACTGGTTCAATTTCACCATAAAACACTTACTGGGGAGGTGGGAGAATTTCCTGGCAGACGCTTGCTATCCAGAATGCCACAATACAATAGCACCCGACCTGGCGTAACAAAACCCCTCATGCCAGAAACACAGCCGGCCGCACGAGGGACTACCCGAACAGAAGCCAAACTACAAAAACCGTTAGCCAGTCAAGCAGGAATTGAATTCAGAAAAGCACTGGAAACAGATGACTGGTTTCTAAGTCACAAAAACACGTGTGCCATCAGGTTGAACCCGGAGAAGGCCCCATGTGCATTTTTATGGCCGTTTGTACCTGGGATACAGGAAGTGCTCACCTGTTTACGAAGGTTCACTGTTCCCAGCCTTCTGGGGGGAGGGGTCCAGGAGCTCTTCTAGGGCTGGTGGAGCTGCCCGGGACCCGGATTCGCACTTGGTCCATGGATTCCTTCCTCCGTGTTTGGTTATCCCACCCCCAGTCTGTGGAATATAACTTAGGACAGAGTGTGGGGGTAGGGCGGGGATAAGGGCATCCGGACGGGCCTAAAGAGGGTGGATGGAGGGCTGTAGCCAGGCCGCCCTTGGGAAGGATTCTGATCTGAGGAAGGACACAAGGGGGGGGGCAGCCAGGCTAAGGACTCCGCCAGGCAATTGGAAGGGGTGGGGGGCAGAGGCAGAGCAGAAGGGGAGGGGCAGGATGGGAGGAGTCTGAGCAAGGAGGTCAGGCAGTCCTGGCTGAGGACTCAGCCGTGGGGAACGGCTCCAAGTGGGGTGACTTTCAGTCCCCCCATTTGCAAACGGATCCCGAAGCCCAGTCCTAGGGGGGGGACCCCAAAAGCCTCCACTTGCTTCAGAGGGGAAACGGGTTCGGGTGTCTCTTCCTCCAAAGGAAAATCTCCGCCAGTCCAGCCGGCAGGAAAAAAAAACCCTGCATCCACTTTTTGGTCCCCCACATCATACACACACAAAAAAGGGCCGAGATTCCAGAAAGAGGGAGAAGAGAAGAGTAATTGAGAGGATTAAAGGCCTGGGGGGCTAAAACGTACGATGGACGGTTGCAGGATTTGGGAATGGCCAGTCTGGAGGAAAGATTTGGGGGGGG